TGTACTTTCACATTCACAACATGTATCCTNCACCATACAACCTTATCCAACCCACCGCAAATAGTGTTTATCGAGTTGCATCTGTATACGTGTCCTGAGAATACGTGTCCTGTTATTGACTGTTGGTGTCAGCATGGTCTTGGCTAGCCCAAACCTAATATGCATTCTCTTTGTAAACTCAGAGAACTTGTAACAACACACTCAAAGCATTTGGACTGGCCAAGATGACGACAAGCAGATGGCAAAAGTAGAAGGGACAGTCTTTGCAGAAGAGGACACAGGAAATGTGACAATTCGGAAATATCCGAAAATGACGTACTTCCGTTGCGGGCTACCTTCAAAATCAAAGGTAGCCCGCAAGGGAAGTACGTCATTTTCGGATACTTCCGAAAACTCAACGTCAACTTCTGCTTGCTAAGTACAAACTCTGTTGTCATCATCTTGGTCAATCCAAACATGACACAGAGCATTCTGTGATGCCACATCCATAGTGTTGTCATCGTCTTGGTTAATCCAAACACAACACAGAGCATTCTGTGATGCCACATTAGCATTGTCATCATCTTGGTCAATCCAAATGCAACACACATAATGCCACATCCAAAGCAGGTGGTCTGCTGTGCACTTTGCTGTCTTGCACTCTTCGTTGTCTTGGCCAGTCCAAACGATTTGTGCAATGTATCTATCTACCACATTTCTTTGCACGCTCATTGTTGTCTTGGCCAGTCCAAACAATTCAAGTGCCACATCAAAGCGAGTCTCTTCATAAACTCAAAGAACGTGTGATCAGGCAGTGGTCTATATATGGTGATACCATCAAAACAGATCAGAACACATAGATTAAAGTTTTAGATCTCAGTTATCGGATCTTATTCTTTTGACACATCACAGATTCCTATGACGCACGAAACTTTCCCCCATCAAATGATTGGGAAATGTTCGTGCGTCATCATTTTTCTAACCTGCTCATGTGGCTGTGTGTAATTCAGTTTATTGGTGGAATGGTACATTGCTGTCTTGGCTAGTCCAAACACAATGAAAGTTCTCTGTCAATACCCCTTCGATTTTCATGATCTTAAACTCGTTCAGATAGTCCCACACTCCGTGAAGATGCTCCCCAAAACCGTTTACGAAACGGTTGAGGTCTCGTGGAGCTAGGTCAGTTTCCATTTTCGCTCTTTTGCCCTTATGCTCACAACTCCCCAGGACCTCAATCTGCTTCGTTTTCTGTGGTCGAGGGCTCGTTCGGATACCCCCACGCTCCGTGAAGACACTCCCCAAAACCGTTTACGAAACGGTTGAGGTCTCGTGGAGCTAGGTCAGTTTCCATTTTCGCTCTTTTGCCCTTATGCTCACAACTCCCCAGGACCTCAATCTGCTTCGTTTTCTGTGGTCGAGGGCTCGTTCGGATACCCCCACGCTCCGTGAAGACACTCCCCAAAACCGTTTACGAAACGGTTGAGGTCTCGTGGAGCTAGGTCAGTTTGCATTTTCGTTCTTTTGCCCTTATGCTCACAACTCCCCAGGACCTCAATCTGCTTCGTTTTCTGTGGTCGAGGGCTCGTTCGGATACCCCCACGCTCCGTGAAGACGCTCCCCAAAACCGTTTACGAAACGGTCAAGGTCTCATGGAGCTAGGTGAGTTTGCATTTTCGTTCTTTTGCCCTTATGCTCACAACTCCCCAGGACCTCAATCTGCTTCGTTTTCTGTGGTCGAGGGCTCGTTCGGATA